TTTTCTGACTCTTTTCTATGAAATGAAAAAAGATTTCAAGTCAATAACATCATTAATAGTTGAGTTAATGACCAAAACATGATGATATAAAAGTCTAAAAATCCTAGCCCACACAAAATATTTGATAGGTCGATATTTTTCTTATTACCACGTCAACGGAGAAATCGTAGTATGCAGTTTTGTTTGTTTTTAGGTCCCCTAACATCCTGCATTTAAAGTGTCCGTGTGTGAGAGCAAAAGTTGAAATTTGTTGTACGGTGTTATTACTTGATAACACAGAGAAGATGAAATTCAAGCAAATTTTTGAAAATTAAAAAATCACGAAAGAAATTCAAAAAGAGATTCGGGAAAATCATTGAAGAAATCAACCAAAAAAAATCATGAAATATAAAAATCAATTTGATTTTCAAAAACTGTTCATCTTGGCCTCCCATCATATCAGCAGAATACTAAGTTGCATATCAAGCTGGATCATACGAAGATCAAATATTATTATAAATAAATTTAAGAAAAAATAAATGGCTCTGGAGCTGGCATTGTTGATTCGATCAACACTATGATCTTTGAGCATTATAATTATGTTATAGCGAGGAATTTATGAATTGTGCTATCACGCAGTTCCACATTTGATTAGAATAAAAGGGAATTTTATCATTATATCGAATAAGTATAAAAATGGTAATCAACAATAAAAATAATTATTGGTAATCAACAATACCAGCTCCTGTTCGTGTGTGAATTTCGTGAATCCAGTTTGTACTATTGCCGACTAACCTCACAACCAATATTAATATCTTTTCTCCATTCCGTGTTTCGTAGATTCGCTCAATTTCACATAGGCATTGATAGCGTCGATAATCTCTATTCCAAAATTTTGTAACGTTATCGATGGCTTCAATCACACAGATGAAACGAAATTTGTTCCTATGGATTGTGATTCATTATTATTTTCAGAAATATGAGTAAAATATGCGTAACGCTACCGTCCTCACCCTTGCTCATATATGTTTTAAAACAACAAATATTGGAAAATACACGAACTCAATAGATTTCTTTTATATTTTCATATTAAAAAAGCGGGTGCTAAAGGTGAAAATGGCAAACTCAACAAAATACACATCAACATATTCATCGGAATATGGTATGCATGATATGCCGTAAGAGCAATGAATCAACGACGCACTGCTTTTTCATTCTTTCTGAGTCTTTTTTCACATTTGTTTCAGCTATGCTCAGTGAATATTTGGGCTATTTGTTCGCACTTAGTCATTAGTATGATTTTTTTTATCTTATCATTGTCGTACCTGATAAAGCGACATACTCACAAAGGCGTGGTGTATCATCGAAAAAATTGCTCAGTCCAATATTTGCCAGCGCACTTATTCAAACCTGTAAGGTGTATTGGATCAGATCATTCAGGTGGTACCTATTCGAAATCAACATCTTCAATTGCTTTAAATTAGTCTCTAAGAAGTATATTAAATTGCGTAAAAAGTAAGTGAAACATTGGAATTTTTGTCTGCATACAGCTTATTTCTGTTGGTAATTAAATATAGTCAAAAAAAAATGTAGACTATTGTTCATCATAACAGTGTGGAACAGGTGCAGGTGCATTCAAGCATAGATCGTGTAGTGGGATTGAGTTCGGTTTAAGAAATAACTACGCATATCAAGAAATTCAAACTGTGACCTAATTTGATTATTCATTTCAAATATATTGAAGATACATTCTATTAAATTCTATGTGCTAAAATATGTTTTGTGTGTGATCGAACTTCAGGTCTTTGTCGCAACTCTCATTCCATCGGTCATAATTGTTGTGATTGAAAATCAGTTTAATAACACACAGATGCTATCCAGAAAATCAGTTAATTTTGGAACGTATACTATTCCTAAGGAATGTGTTTTTAATAGCACGTCGCAAATAGATCAGTGATTCGCGTATTTTATCAATTTACGTTTGTATAACGCTACAGCATGATTTTGTAAAGCGAAACAATGAAATGTGCGTGTGTTTGTTCATAGACAATAACAAGAAATAACACATTTTTTTCCGATAAGATAACAATGCCCAATGCTAAGTATTTATTTTGTAATTTTTTTTAATACTTTTTTTTTCAATTCGAACCAAAGTCTGATTAACGCGCATCAATTACGAATTGTATTCAATACCTTTCCCAATAGATCGCCAACCTGCGTATCAGAGGTTATAAGCGGAAAACCTACAAATAGTAATAATAGTTTTTTTATGTAGCACACTAAAAATATGCCTTCCATATAAAGTGTTATCACCATATCTAATCTGATTTTATACCGACTCGCTTATCGTATTTGCTCTTTTGCTGAAGTGCACACACAATACTTTCACAACAGTTTCCCAACAGCATGAGTAATTTTGATTGCAAAATACGACAACAACAAAATGGGGACTCATTTGCTCTGGATTGAAAATTGTACATATCTTTGTGTAGATGATTGATGATGTTTTTCATCAATCCAGAAGAAGAAGAAATCGAGTCTGAATTCAGGTTTTTTGCCAAATCTTAAAATTGAACAGTTCAGAGTTGAACAGTTTGTTATATTTTCAATTCGTTTTCATTTTGCATGGCTTTTGTTCGATATTTGTCAATGCACTTATAATCGTATACACGTTCCCATTACAGATAAATTACAAGAAATTGTTCGTATACCTACGTTAAATCGATTGAGTCACCACATTAGTCGGTGCACAATGTCACGCCTATTGACGTATGTCGTCACTTTTGTGCTGATCTCCAGTGCACGGGAAATTCAAAGCCAAGAAAATGCACAGACCCGGATACCAGAGTCCCTTGAAGAATGCTACCGAAATGCGGATATTTATGAAAGAGATAACCGTTTACCAGCTACAATTAACACATTGATTGAGCTAATACGAAAAATTGAAGACTCACCCGATTATACGAGCGATTTGCGTACAGTTGCAGTCGGACTATTGCATCGATTCCGCATGGATGGAATTAAACACGCTTCTGGGAATGTCCATCCGACCGTCTTACCATTTAGTCCGTCGGAATATCAATTTTCGAAGCATCGTTTGTTATTGTCACGTTTGATTCCAGGCAATGCACATAATTTCCCGAACAATAGTTTATCGGCCGTTGAAAGGGTATACATATATACGAATATATAGATACTTATTGATTCGAAAAAACTTTTGAGATTTTGAGTATTGTTAAATACCCATACGACAAGATATCTCCTTATGATTGATATATTTATTTGGTTTTTATTGTAGTGCACATTGCATTTCCTTTTATCAAGTTCAATTGATACACAAGTCAGAGGAGATGAATCAACGAGATGTGGACAGTTAGCACAATTTCGATCGTCGAGATTTTTCCATCCATTCGAGTTGGCCAGGAAAAAGCGTTATAGTCAGATGCCCCGAAATAATTATTTATGTGACATTGAAATGATGTCTGATATGTGAGTTACATTGACTTTTTATTCAAAGAAATAATGGTTTCAATCGTAAAACGATAATTGTTTGTGGTTTTTCTTCATTATTACCATATTTACGTACGGTAATATCTAAATAGGCATGATCAAAGACGATGCCAACGCTATAGAAAACAGCCTCGGCCAAGAACCACCACTCAACGAACATACGAAGAAGACGACGAAAATACGGAAGATGACATTGGAGATTTTCCAGAAGAAGAATTTCCATACGACATTAACCCCTCCGGACGAGGTTTGATCGAAATAGCGAATAACGCGGTGAGTCAGTGTCCAGTTGAAAATGGTGTAATCAGAACAACTTGGGGAGCCGTAGCTGCTGGACCCCTAATTGCAGGTACAAATCAATATTAGTAATGAATATTCGAAGCAGATTGAACTTAAAGTGCGACATCACTCTGCATCAAATCAAACTTTCACAGGAATTGCTGCTGGTTTAGTGCAGCAAAATGTGGCCACTCGTGAATTATTGTTACTGACAAGAAACTATGCCCGCCACAACCATCATCAACATCAAGTCCAACTGAATGTAGACAATCGATGGGCGGCAACTTTGAGCGGAGATCTGTCTGAAGTAACACTTTTGCAAGGTCCAATGAGTCGGGATATCAGTGTGGGTGCATCTGGTGCATGGAATTCGACAACCGTTCCCCATTGGTATTTCCTATCACAACGTGAACGTCTTGAAATGACTGATGCAGGTAGGTTTGAGTAGAGTATATCCACAATGTGTGCTATCAATCTGTTTTTATCTGTCTCAAGAAATTCGTGGAGGAATCGATGGATTAGTCATGGGCCTAAATATTGCCGAATGGCGAAAACAAATTTCGCAGATACGACTTAGTCAACTGCTTGATATGTACTATTCGAATCGTGGCATTTTATCTTCAAGTTTCCGATCGTGCAACCGACGAGAGCTCTTTACAAAAATTGTTCAACCGAATCAGCTGCAGGCACAAACGATAGCATTCAGTACTGTTCTGGATCGTGAGATGCAACTGATTGTCACTCTTTCGAATAAGAATATCGAGCAATTTTCGACAGCTGCAACCGAAGCTTTAAACTCATATGTCGGTAAGTATGATTCATTTGGATGAATCATTAGGGATGATTATGCTGATGATGTATTCATTCAACAGAAAATGGACTGAATGATGTGACTTGCGATGCTACATCGGCATTAAATTCAGGTGGTGAGAGAACTGCAACTGATTTGCACATTTTTGTCGAAACAACTTGGCAATTTATTGAAGTTCAGCCGGCAATTATCACCCTCCTGGATAATCTCGATGTTAACCGGTTTGGAACAAGATTTACATTGTATAACGCCAACGATGCGTCCGTAATAGTGAACACGACATCAAATCTTTCTGATTTGTCAATGCAATGGAACGTAACAATTCATGCAAATCAGCCCTCGGGTTTTAATTTAGCCGCAATTGTTAAACAGCTACGCGCTATTGGTACCAATCTAATCAATGAGGAACATTCGCAATCACAAGCTGTCGGACGTTCATTTGTCGCTCTGGTCATCCCACAATTGTCGCCCGTCAATGAGGCTGATAGCAACTATGTGCTTGAACAACTAGTTACTCTACGTGAAAATCAACCGGACCTTACGTTATTATTTTGGGCTGGCGGATCGGTTGGCCGCTTCCAAGGATTTGTGGTCAACCAACAACGAGATCTTTTCGAATTGAGAGCACTTAGCTCCAGCGGTGGTGCCGAAGCAAGTCAACAAGTCCTTGCTTACACATTGCCTGTCATTCAACGCATTCAATCTGGTATGGTGAAATATTGAAAACTAGTTATATTTCAAATATGGGGTGTACCATGTGCCGATGATAAAATATTTGTTGTTTTTTCATCTTTTTAATCAATTCAGTGCCAAGGAGAATAGCGAACCCACGCTGCACCACGGATGGATGGACATGGGCCCAAAGCGACTGGGGCACTAATGCCCTCGAACGATTCGTTGAACCATCCAATGTGCCTACTTTCTACCGTTTGCATCCCAACTATTTCTATCGTTCTGGTGGTTGGATTCGCATCAAGAGTCTTTATCAATCACAAATCATCGTTTGCACCTCACGAAGTCAAGAATACCCCAAGTAAATTAATTTCAGATTTTGTTTTTTTTTCTTTCATTATTTACAATTGTCATTACAAGCATCAAATCGAACATTTTGCAGGTTTAGTAACTCAACGCAATCAAATGAAAATGTGGATTGTCGGCAATTGCCGCCAAACGATAACTACAATTATGACCTTACAAATGCTTGTGAAGGACATTATCTTATACAAAATTGTCCACCCGTTTATATATCGGTTCAATCCGCTCCACAGGAGACTCAAAATAACTATCAATGCACTGAATTGGGTTGCCGTTTTCCCGACGAAACTAAATTCAGCATAACCCTCGAAAATTTGGGTTGTTACAGCAGCACATCGAGAACAATGTGCCAATTGACAGTTTTGGTGTTCATCATTTTCATTCCCATTTTCATCCAGAAATTTAGACTAGTCTAAGCTCAGCGCAATACGAATGACAAATTCGAATCAACTTCCTTTTTTTACAAAAAATACATTTTCTAGACATTTACAGATATTCACATGTTATTAAGCCCTCTTTTTCCATGAATAAAAGATAATAATGAAGCTATTTCCACTAAAAAGTGGACTTTCAACACAACAACCAAATGAAACACACATTTTGTTTTTTTTCTGCACTTCTGTATGCTAATTCATAGTTTATTTTATCGATCATTTATTTCTTTTGGCTGATTTTCAGCTTTGTAAGTATTTTTTCGTCCTAATTTCAATTCGAATGGAATGAAACACATTTTACAATAATACATTTCAGTTCATCAAATCAAAAAATAATAACAGTTTCCTTTGCATCATTTCATTGTTCAAATTTACCAGGATATATTGTGCAATGTACAGAAGATAACAGTTGAGTAAGAGCTCGCATACAAGAGTACGAGAAAGAAGAATCTTCGAGCATACTCAATACATAACATGGACATCTGATGTCATCTGAGAGTTCATTTCAAAAGTCGGTCAAAATGAGTGTTATCAAACAGCTACTGTTAATGAAGAGGCGTAAAAATGTTGACACGTACCGGTTACTTGGTGCAAATATGTGTATTGTTTTTGAATTTTGTTCTTTAGATACTTTCTTATCCTCACACTGGTACAGTAAAACCTGTCAATAACGGAACTTGGAAATAGTGGAAATCGTGTTAATAGTGGAAAAAAAATTTGGCCGTTGAGCTCTCCCATACAAATTGACCTGTTAATAACGGAAAACCGAAACTCCGAATAGTGGAAAAAAATTTCTTGACGAAATTTTTTTTCGTCTTTTATTCATCTCTTTTTCATATAAAATTATTTTTTTCCTTTATCAAAACCACTGATCATCATAAAAATTGTGCAGTACAATTTACATTACATGCATTTCAGTATTATTTTTCATTTTTGTCTGCCAAAATCATTGCTTATTTATTCAAGCAAACAAATTTTTGACGCTCCCAGTAAAAACATATTCACTTGATCAGTGCATTTACATTAAGTTTGGTAATCATTGTTTCGTTTCATGAAATGCAGAATTCATCGCTGCCAAATTGATAGTGTAAAAAATGAGTATCATTTACCTTTCCATTTTGAGTCATTGTTTGAACTGCTTGATTATTTTAAAAAGTGATGTTTGTCATTCACTCAGTGAATTTGACTGTTTTTTCACTTTCGTTTTTCCTTCATTCATTTAGTAAAAAAATACTTTTATTTCATTATTTCCTTTTCACGTTTATTATATCACTTGATTTGATAATTGAATACCCATACAAATGTATGTTTTGTTTCTTTTTACCCTCAATAATGGAAAATCTTGTTTGAATCGACTCAAAAACCCCTGAATAACGGATCCTGTGAATACTGGAATTCTTGTCAATAGTGGAAAAAAAAATTCCCCACGGGATTCCGTTATTGACAGGTTTTACTGTATTATTCTCACAAATTGAAATATGTGAACGGTTTTTTTTTGCGATTGGAAAGAGTCACCAACACATACACTACCTTGCAAAAAGACCAACCACCGTTTTCCATATATATATATGTATTCGTCCATATCAGAAACCGTTTGGCTTCCAGTTTTCTTACGGTAAAATGGATTAAAATTGGTTTGTGTGACTCAAAGCTTAAGACAGCTGAATACTCTTCTTCATCACTTGAACTCTATTACAGTAGACTCTCGGAAAGAGCAACTAAAATGCAGAGATAACTGAAGCGTGTTGTTTTTTGTTTTTTTCTTCGTTCTACTTTACCTTTATGGCCAAAAAAAATTTGCATCAATATTTTGTCTAACATAACGAAGAATGGCTTTTGAAAAACCACATTTACAATGGTGTATGTAAAGAAAAATTCCCAAAAGTATCGATTGTAAAATTGAGCTAATACGCGCAATGACTAAGTGCGTGTGATCGCACAATGCGAACACCAGCTCTCATTTCAGGGCAAAAAACGTATTCTTTGTTATGTTAGACAATATATTGTTAGAAAAAAATTTTGGCCAAAAAGGTAAAGTAGAACGAAGAAAAAAATAAAAAAAAACAACACAAGTGCTCGGGTGCGCTACAGTCATCTCTGTTAAAATGTATACAAGGTAGTTGCAATTTCCGAAAAGTTGCATTTTCTGGAATGTTTCAAAAACCCTTGCTTATTAGTGATTTGGGTAACTTTAATTCCAAAAATTTGAGACCAAAAAAGAATAAATTCTCAACCAATACTTCCACTCTGCAAAAAGTTTTGAGGTCGTCCAAATTCGGTTGCTTTTTCTAGACAATAGCGTTTTGTGAGAGTTGCATTTTCCGAGATTCCAATGTATTGAAATTGGAGAATTCTTTGAAAATATATTGTTCTTTTTTATAAAGGAGCTTTTAAACCATTCTCGCGAAGAACATGAAGGATGGTTCAAAATGGGTCAGGTCATGGTTCGAAATTGGGTAAAATGCGTATACCTCCAGAAAAAGTCTATTGAAATGTTATCATTAAACGGAATACAGAAACATCATGAAACTTTGAAATGTGGAAAAAGTTGTTTTTGTTTGGACTTAACCAACCGCTGGTGCAAAGTTTGAGCATTTTTTTCACTAATGCCCAATGACATCATTGCAGCACAATTGAAAAGTCGCTCCAAATCGCTATTTAAAACTTTATGTGCGTTATTTCAATTTGCATAGCACGAGTGAAACATTTTGTCTTAAATTTGTTCATTCTAGTTCATTCGATGTTTATTTTATTTTATTTTATTTAATACCGCCAATCTCTGGCTGAATATATTATCAAATAAAAAAACTCCTTTCGAAGTAATTCCTCGTGACGAAAGCGAACACGAAACAGTTGATATTAATTTTAAAAAATCATTACGGAGCGATTCTGAAATTAGTTGGAAGAATGCAAAAAAAGCAAATCCAAATCGCTCCGAAATGATTTTTTAATAAAAAGAATTACATTGGTAATCCCGAACTTTTCCGTACCGTTGGCCTGCGTTCTCCGTATGTACTTTTGGCTATTTTTTGTGAATTTTCTTGAAATAAAGGCAGCGAAAATATAATAATAAAAATAAAGTGAAAAATCGGTCACTTTAACTAAAACTTCGACAATTTTGTATGGGAGGTACCCGTAAACCGATTCCTATTGGCTTCAAACTTTCTGAGGTTTCATTTTTTGGAGAAAAAATAAGATTCTGAAAGTTCCATGTTGATCGCATTTGCAGAAGTTTGGTTTTTGGCCCTCAATTTTTTCCAAGAAAATTTCGACAAAAATTGAGGACAAAAAATGAAACCTCAGAAAGTTTGAAGACAATCAGAATCGATTAAACAATTATTTTATTAAATCCTCTTTTCGGCATATGTCCCAGAAAAAAATTTAGGGCCCCGCAAAATGTTTGCTTCAGGGCCCCCGAAAGTGCTAAGACGGCACTGGTTTATACTGCATGTTTTTCTAAAAAAAAAGGGTGGGTCAACTTACAAAGAAAAAATTTTGTTGCCAAAAATCAGACCTCTTAGAAAATTGACCAAAATGTTTTGTTTTTACAACCAAAACTAATGAATTTCCTGATCAAATTGTAGCTTTTTCGGCTCTCTTTCCAATGGTATATCAAGTGTGCATTTATCTTCATTCCATAAAAAGTTATGACTAAAATGATTAGTGCGGGTCAACCTACACATAATTCCCCTATATTTTCACTGCCTTTATTTCAAGAAAATTCCCAAAAAATAACCAAAAGTACCTACGGACAACGCAGGCCAACGGTACGGAAAAGTTCGGGATTACCAATGTAATTCTTTTTATTAGTCAAAATTTCAAAAATTTTGTATGAGAGGTACCCGTAAACCGATTCTCATTCACTTTAAACTTCTGAGGGCAAGAACCAAACTTCTGCAAATGCGATCAACATGAAACTTTCAGAATCTTATTTTTTCTCCAAAAAATGAAACCTCAGAAAGTTTAAAGCGAATGAGAATCGGGTACCTCTCATACAAAATTGTCGAAGTTTTAGTTAAAATGACCGATTTTTTACTTTATTTTTATTATCACAGCCGGCGACAGCAGGCTCGAGTGACGAAAGCACCTCTGTGCTGAAAGTCGAACTCGCCTATATATACACGAAATTTCGAACTTTTTTCCTAAGAGGCCATCTGGTATGAATGAAGTAT